CATTAACTTGATGAGGGTCATCTTTTTGCAGCGTATACATATACCAAATCATCACATTGTGCACTTTTAATATCTTATATTTTGTTGGTCAACTATACCTCAGTAAAGCTGATAAAATGAAGCCCAAGGGATGGACTTTCCCAAACAAAGGCAGGTTAGATCCCTTGCCCGCCTGTCAGCAAAGGGTTTGTGGAATTATAATCAGTAGTGCTCACTAGGACATTTAATTAGGTTGGCGGTTAAGGAGAGCAGATCTCAGAAAAGACGTGGCGGATTTCATCGAATAAAGGAGAAAGGAAGCCAGGTAGACAAATAGTTGCCATTTTTGATAGCTTTTCCTATCATCGTCAATGTCTGCATCACTACAGAATTCCATTTCTTCAATACCTCACATAGTCTAATGCCAGCTGAGGGTCTGCAGTACATTTCCTGGAACTGAAAAAAATGAAAAAAAAAATGGAAGTGTAAAAGCAAGCCTTCAGTGTTAAAAGTCTATCTATGGCTATCCCTGTTCCTGGGAAGAAAACATGTTGGCATCTGGGACATTGAGCCTGTGGTCAAATGCAGCTGTCATCATTAAGACCTCCCTGATGTTTCGTTAACAAATCCATTTAAGTTGTAGGTGTTTATATATGAATGCTTTATGCATGGTTGTAAAAACTTTTTAAATGAAATTTGAAACTATACATTTTTTTCTTTTTTTTGTAATTATGTTCTTTTGGCCAAAAATATGATCTTTTCTCAAAACTAGATAAAATGTTAGTGCCTAAATAAAGAAAACTGTGCTGGCATCTTGTTTATAGATTTTTAAAGGTTTTCCTTTGGGAGACTTTTGCAGTGATTATTCATAGTTTCCTGTGTCTTTTCATATGGTTTTCATTTGGGTCCAGTTATGTTGCAAACAGCTCTTTTAATATTTTTGTTTATTTATTGTTTTAGGTGTGTTTTGCTCAGAACAGAAAGGTCTATCTTGTCCCCTGTAGCTATAGGACTCTTGTTAGTATTAATCAGATAGCTGGGCTAGTTGAAGGGTAACCAAATAGTAGAAGACCATCAGTGGGAAGTGTGGATGTTGGAATTTAAGGAAAACTGATACTCACCCAGACCAACAGAACCATCTAAGTTATTGATAATTGGGACCACCATTTTCTTTGAAGTTACCACTGTGGCTATGTGGACGCAGAGCAGAAGGGGCCATACTCCTTTGCCATATATGTATGGTCCTTATGAGATACAGATTCCCAACGCTTCTGGAGTATAGAGGAGAGATTAATGTTCGTGAACTTAAAACGTTTCAGAAGCCTTAATGGAAAAGGTAACCATAAGTTCATTTATATGTTTAATATAAAATTTGGGCTACTAACTTCAATAGGTCTTTTTTTCTTTTTGTTGAGAACATTGCTATGTGATATAGGGTTTATATAACTAGGTAGTCATATTTTCATTAAATATTACCTTACAGTATCAGAGTTGAATAGCCACAGAAGGCAAGAGTATAAAACCAATTGCAAGGCAGCAGTATCCATTGTGTCAAGATTGTGGTGGAACAGAAGCAGGGGTTGGGTGTTCAGTGAAACGACTCCCATGGGAAGATTTCTTGAAGGGAAAGGAGCTTCAGTCAATTTTTAAGAATGAGGCTGAAGGGCAGGGTAAGGACAATAGTATTTTAAGTGACAGGTGAGAAACACATAGCTATTTCCTGAGAGAGTGAGCAAATTCATCTGGCTGGAGCAGAAGCCTTATTTAAGGAAGTTGGGGAATGAGATTTTATTTGTTTGAGTTTACATTAGGGTTTGCTCTTTGAGTTGTACATTCTGTGGGTTTTGGCAAATGTATAAGGACATGTATCCATCCTTACCATATCATACACTGCCTTGATTGTAGTCCCTAAAAGTTACAAGCTGGTAGCTGCATCACTGTTTAAATTGTAGGATAATGCACTGGGATATGGACCCATTGCTTCTAGTCTCTCTCAGCTCTGAGAGGTTCAGTTTTATGTACAATTAAATTCCTGCACGGTGAAGTAAAAGTAGCCATCTCTGTGAGTACACAGTGTAGACACAATGTAGAATAGACAGGGTAGAACATAACTTTTTGGTTTTTATTTCTTTTTCAATCCCTAAATTACTACCCACTTAGAGTTAATATGAAGAACTAGATAATGGTGTAAATAAATGTGAGAATGTTTCATTCACTCTTGTCTTTTGTACATTAAAGAACATGCACTACTTGCTAAACAAAAATAGTCTGAAACAGGCAAGCAGGGTGGGCTCTTTCTCCTACCAACATCGCACACAACTACTCCCCGTATAGAAAGTACCAGAGCTGTAGCAAGGGCTGTCTGGGTGAAAGATGGAGTCTGTCCCAGCAGGAGCTGACTGGCTGGGGGCAGTCATCCACACACATCCTGGCCCAACCAGGTGGGGCTTGCAAGCAGGCATCCTGAGAGAGAGGCGGAGGGACACTTATACCACCCAACTCCAGGGTCAGGGGCTCTCTTTAGGCCTGGGTGGAGCTCTCTGGAAGTCCCTAGGAGTGGTGTGAGCCCTCCTGTTGCCTCATGGGCCTCTGGGAAAAAGATCTCATGTATCGCTGTGCTGTGTCCTGTGGAGAGACCACACTGTGGCTGACGGTCTCAGGGTGAGCTTAGAACTCACAGACCCTGCCCTAAAAATTCCCTGTGTCCACAAGAAATGAGTTTCAATTCTTTTCACAAGAAACGCTTCAGAACGTTATGGTACCTATTGTCTGAAGAACTTTATTCAGCAGTATAGATGATAATAAGAAAGATTATCCAGGTAATACTGACTATGAAGGAAAGGATCAGTTTCAATTGTGCTGCTCATCGACTTTGGTGTGACTTTATATCCATAGCCTTATTTTCTTTTTAAAAAAGTATTTTTTTCTTATCTGTTAAATTAGAAAATTTAGATTTAAGTGAAAAATCACTACTAAACTCATCATCTATAGGCGGGCTAGCATTTTACAGTGTATCTTTCCTTTCTTGTGTGTGTGTGTGTATGTGTATGTGTGTGTTATTTTTATTTGAAAAACAAAGTGGGCATATTGTTTTATATTCTGATTTTTTTACTCCGTACATCATGAACAAAATGCCTTATAATTCATGCTCTGCAACAGTGTACCTTTTAAATGACTCCATAGTATTCCATTGTATAAGTCACAGACTTTTCATAATTTCATGGATTATCTTTATATCATTCTGAGATGTGGGGGTATTGCTTTTCATTACCATTTAGCCAGGGAAGGACTACAAGTCAGACAGGTGAGGCAATGTCATTTAGTGGAAAGAACCTGGACTTAATCAGGAGTCTTCCCTTGTCCTAATTCAAACTAGTCTTCAGTTTTGTTATTTAATCTCTCGGACTTAATTTTTTTTTAATAATTAAAAAATATTTTTAATGTTTATTTTTGAGAGAGAGAGACAGAGACAGAGACAGAGAGTGAGTAGGGGAGGGGCAGAGAGAGACACACACAGAATCTGAAGCAGGCTCTAGGCTCTTGGCTGTCAGCACAGAGCCTGATGTGGGGCTTGAACTCATGAGTCATGACATCATGAACTGGGCTGAAGTTGGACGCTTACCTGATTGAGCAACCCAGGTGCCTCTTATCTCTTGGACGTTAGTTACTTTGCCTTTAAAAACCAGCAGTTGCTTTAATATTCAGTAACTTAGGTATCACCACAAATCAGGAACAAAGATAAGACTAATTTCTTTCATTAAAACTGCAACAATTGATAGTAATCTTTTTATTTTCTTCTGTGACTCTCTCCCTGACTCTCTAACCTCAGGTGCACAGATGCGAATTTGTTACAATCTTTGGTTCATAGCAGACTCTTACCATTGGCCCACAAATGATCCCCTGTAATTTATTTATTTATTTATTTATTTATTTATTTATTTATTTGGTGTTCATATTATATAGAAATTGTGTACTTTTCCTCCCTTGCAGTAAACTCTTTAAAGATGTCTACTAGTCAAAATCTAATCTATTAAAAAATACAAATGACATGTTTTATTTACCATTTTGCCTCTATCACCTACTGTAGAGTCTGGTGCATACCAATTGTTCAATCAATAGATGTTTCATGGACCCGTTGCCTGGATGAACATTGAAAGGTAGAGGAGAATCTATTGTCAATGCTGGATAAAATGTGGATGCTAACAAAAGAGTCAGGTTATTAAAATAAACTTATCCCATTGAAGATGGCAATGACTGTGAAGCAGACATATTCACTAGGAAAAGCTAGGCGGCAGTGAAAGACTGAACAAAAGTTTTACCTGATGGGAGTTAAAAAAACAAACAAACAAAAATGATCAAACTATTACTGTTTATATTGTGGAGACAGCACAGTGCTTAGAACACAGCACACTCAATAAATGTATACCATTAGTCCCTACACTAGCACTGGGATGTCAGAGGGAAGCTTTCGATATTGTCATTTTTCATATGAAGATATGAAACTCAGGAAAGTTATGTGACTTCTTAAGGTCATGTAGCTAATATGTGACACCTTTAGGATAGACATTATATCTGTCTGACCATGAAGGTATGAGACTTAATGCATGATAATAAGTTGTCCAAAAATGGCATAATAGTTCTTCAGAAAATTTGAGAAAAGGTTTTTTTCAGAAATATCTTTATTATTCAAACTGTTTCCCAATCAGGGAGAAGATATCCATTCTAAGAAACCATGTGTAGTTGGCGTATATTAAACTGGAACTTTTACTCTTATTCATTTGTCATGTACTTCATGGCTGGAGAATATCTTTGCTATCCTTGTACGCATAAGCCAGACCAGTGATTTCATGAGCATTAAATTTTTCACAAAAGCCCTTTTTCTCTGTCTTGGCTTATTATTTCTAACTCAATCTCCTTGGTGGGAATTGGTGGTTGTAGTGGATTTCCTTTTCTCTTTGGAACTAGTAGGTGATCCGTGTTGCACTCTCAGTATATTTGATACCATTTTTATGCTATTACAGAATTATAGTTGAGGACACAGTGGATTGGCAACCCCATGACAAAATCATCCTTAGCTCCTCTTCTTATGAGCCTCACGAAGCAGAAGTCCTCACTGTGAAAGAAGTCAAGGCTCACCATATTAGGATCTATGAACGGCTCAAACACCGACACATTGGTAAGGCTTTGGTTTGTTGGTTAAGGAAAGTGGATGGACCAGGAAGAATGTGTACAGCAACCTGACTGGGGATCCTGTGTCCAATGGCCATTCAGAAGGATGGATAATACCTTGCTGCTCCCTAGACCTGTCCTAGAAGGTTTTACCTCTATTCCTTCATTAATTTTATTGCCTAACTTTTAAAGAACACTTAGATGTGAAGGATTTTGTTTTGTTTTGTTTTTTATTTTTAATGGCAAATCTAGAAGTAAGCAGAAAAATTAAGCATCTTGTTCAAGGTCACTGGGTAATTTCATGGCTTAGCCAGAATAAACCTCATGGGAGCTGAATTTCCAGTTCACTTCTTGGCACACTGACTCACACAACCACTTAGAATACAGTAGTTATTGTAAATAATGACTTCTTTTTTCATGCTCAGGATGTGTTCTTCCAGATACTTTATGTACTGACTACTACTAGTATTAACAAAAAGAAAGATAAACAGCCAAACACTTTTATTTCCTCAAAAAAAGTGTGAAGAGTTTTATACACTATGTACAGTTAAAATATTTGCACATAAATGATAAATAGCCATGAGTTTCCTGGTTCAGTCTAATAAATACATTTAATTTAAGAACTCTAATAAATAATAAAACATGGAAACAGAATGGTTAGGGAATATCTTTTTGTCTCTGATATGAGAGAGATAAATACATGCATTCAACAAGATTATGTCTAAATCTATTTCTAAATCATAGTTCTGAAGATGATTTTTTTAAGTGGAAGAGAGGGGAGAAATATTCAGTATTCTTTGCCAGTAGGATGCAAGGTGCCTTATAAATGGAGGGCAGTGGAACAAACCATAAAGGGGCTTCATTCCTGTTCCTGAGGAGGCTCCTTCAGGTAGTGCTGAACTTAAGACCCATCACAACAGGATGCTGCCCCTGCTCTTTGTCCCTTTACTCCTATGTATTGCTGCTTTAGCTCTGTCACTGCCTCAGTCGGTCTGGAATTCTTCACTGTCATGAAAGAGGTCCACAGACAATGTATAACCGCACACTCAAGTCACACGCCTATGAATTTAAGGAAGGAGGTTAGGGACCCCACTAATTGGACAGGTGTGCCCTGACTTCCTTGTCCCAGTACCCACAGTTATTAAGGAGAAATGAATTCTTGCTCTAACACTCTCACTCTGATCCCAAAGAGAGACATGTGAACGAGCTTTTCATTTCTCAGCTGACATTTGTGGAGAATGCCCGAGGAAAAGCATCCTTAATGTTGGTAGGACTTCTGAGGGGAAAGGAGTGTTTTCATTTGTCAGGTTCTCTGGGTCCCCAGCTGGCAATTTCTGAAATAGGTTTTTAAAGTTTTTTTCTTGCCCAATTCCTATTGCCACAGGAAGCGTCCATGTCATGGAGGATGGCCGATACATTCGTTTGGCTGCAGAGGTTGGACTTTTGACCCGAAATATACAAATCCAGCCTGATTCATCATGCAGGGCGAGACTACTTGTGGGGTCCTTTAGAAAGTCCAACAGTGAAGAATTTTCAGGTAAACGGAATTTTAAGTTATTAGGCATTACCGATTAGAGCCTATTCATCTGGGACACTCAGAAATTCCAGCTGTGAGAATTTTCCTTTATAAAACAAAACGTTAAAATTAGATGGCTCCTTTGTGCTCTGAGGAACTATGAATTTTCAGTTCTAATCTGTGCTTAATTATCAGTGTGACGTTAAAATAATATACTAGCGATCAGCACATATGCACATTTTTACCTCAAAGAAAACATCTTCAGCAGATGTGAAATTTCCTCTGCTTTGAAATTATAGATGATTTAATGACCACTTGAATTTTATCTCTTTCCTGAATTTCTATTACTCTTTCCCAGTAGCATGCTGTATCTGATGGCAGGCCTCAGTTCATGCTATAAATTAATAGCATAAATTTAAATAAAAATGATTTCCATATTCTAGACTGCTTTAAGGATCAGTTCAATCTTTCTCATTTCTTTGCAACTTGAACTCTATTTGAATGCTGCACAATTATTTCATTAGGACCTTTTTCTTAAACTTGTGTTCCTTAGGTATTATTCCATAATTGTTTCTTGGTCAAATACATTTGGGAAAGGCTGTCACTGTACCTCCATCTTAGAAAGTCACTGAATATGTAAATATAAAAAAAGACTCTGAAAAGGCCTGGAATAAAGGATCTAACTACTTACCAAACATATTGAGTATGAAAGAAACACCATTTGTTGGCACATCTGTTCCTCCAGTAAGGTAAAGGGCAGTGTTTGTACCTTAAATCAAAAGTTCAGGATTCCTGGCCTGTGGAACAAACTCTCTCTCCATAGGATCTGTTTCCACGAGTTCTCACAGAAATGACTTCTCTCCTCGCCTCCCCTCAAAAGACATTTGGCAATATATGGAGACATTTTGCTTGTCACAACTTGGGGGAGTTTCTGGTACCTAGTAGGTAGATATTAAACATCCCACAATGCATTCTACAACCCGACAAACGCAAGCACAGTCTCCCACCAGAAAGGATTCTCTGGTTCAAAACATCAATAGTGTTGAGATTGACAAACCATGCTTTAGAAGACTGAAACACAGGCTGAATCCTGGTCTTCTAGAAACGAGACAGGGCCTCCTTTCACTGAAACTGCAGGCCAAGCTGGAACATGGTCACGGGAACAAGTTAGAAGACCAATTCTGACAGTTTAGCACCAAGCCAGTGCTGAATGAGCAGCAAGACTGATGTGGTTCTGAACCTCTGGCATCGCTGATCCAGGGTTTCTTAAATCATCCCCAGGGGAAGAGGTGTTATAGACTGGGATTAAGGGTGGTTTCCATGCCTATTTTATCTTATTTAATCTTTACAAAATTTTTTTAGTGCTTATTTATTTTTGAGAGAGAGAGAGAGTGAGCATGGAAGGGGCAGAGGGAGAGGGAGACACAGAATCTGAAGCAGGCTCCAGGCTCTGAGCTGTCAGCACAGAGCCCGATGCAAGGCTCAAACTCAGGAGCTGTTTATGACATGAGCTAAAGTCAGATGCTTAACCAAGTGAGCCACCCAGGTGCCCCTCATCTAATTTTAATATCTTTGTGAGTGAAACATTTTTATAGATGAGGAAACAGAGTCACTGATAAAATTGCCTGCTTATTTGTAAAACTCACTTACAAGCTTGCAAACAATTTGAGGATAAGGTTGGGTCTTTCATTGCTGCTTCATAAGTATAGTAACTGTTATGTATTAAGTGCTCCATAAATGGCAATGAGGAAAGTGAAGAGTAAAAAAAGTCATCCAGCTAGAAAGTGGCAGAGGTAACATCCAAATTGAAGCCTGAATTTCGAAGCCCTTGTTAAATAAATTTTAATTTTGTAATCATTGTTGATTTATAGAAAAGTTGCATCTGTGGTATCTAGAGTTCCTGGGTTCTTTTTGCACAGTCTCCCCTATTGTTAATATCTGCCATATCTCTGGTACGTTTGTCAAAATCAAAAAGTGAACACTGGTGTGTTACTATCAACCGAATTCAAGACGTTACTCAGATTCCACCAGTTTTTCCACTAATGTCCCTTTTCTGTTCCAGAATACAATCCAGTTTCCCACACTAAATTAAGAAGCCTTGTATTTTTCTTTAATGTAACTCAGGACCTGGATGAGGTGGAATTTGCAGGTTATCGGTCAAGGATGCCAGCTATGGGTATTGAACAATCGTAGGGTAGAAAATGAGGCCAAGAGTTAAATGAGGGAGCTTGAGTCAGAGCTCAAGCAGGGGAGAGGCAGAAACAGAGGAGACAGGGAGACATAGAATCAGAAGCAGGCTCTGAGCTGTTATCACAGAGCCTGACGCGGGGCTCAAACTCACAAACTCGTGCGAGCATGACCTGAGCCACAGTTGGACACTTAACCAACTGAACCACCTAGGTACCCCATCATTCTTTTTATGACCAATAACATCCAGCAATTTGTACTTAGAATTGTTATTTCCAAAAGGAAATATAGGAAAAAACATTACTGAATTCTCCACTTAAATGCTCAAGACATTTTAAGTATTTACTATTGATTAGCTTTCAGCCATTGGTTAAAAATGCATATAAGTAAAAAGATTTTGTGCAATTTAAAACTGTGAATTATAACCATGCAGTATAAGATGTTAAAAAACACTAATTAAAATAATACTGATATATTGCCTTGACTGAAATTCTAGAACCACCTTCCATTCTACAAAATAAGCTATTTATATGTGGAATCTAGCATTTGGTGTCCTTTGGGCCATAGTCATATGGAGACAGGTTCAACAGCCCTTTCAGCTCTGTGCTACTGGTGAGGGACACTATATAAAAAATGTTACCACCAGACAAGTAGTTTCTGGATGTTTTATCACTCTGTGATAATGTCTATTCCATCCACCAGTGCCTCCTTAATCATTGTCATTTGAGAAATTTAGATATGTAGGAATGCTGGTGTCTGGCTACCAAGAAAGACATACATGGTCTTTCACTTCATCTTTCCTTCAGATGATGGTGTGGTCCTTCAAGGCAGCCGATTTGCAAGGGTGTTAGTTTCTCCTCTGTGAAAAGGGAGGGTGGAAGGTAGAGGGTTTAGTCTGGACTACCTTTGAGCTTTAAATATTATTACTAAAACACTAGTTTTCTCCCTTTTAAATAAAAGAAATAACTTTATAGGTCACCTTTGGCAGTACCTTTAAAAAAAAAAAAAGAAACCAAGTGATGGATAAAGTTGTGACCTAGGTAGCTAAGGGCACATGACTAATTACTGGCACATTAGCTATAACCCAGTTGTGTAAATCCCATTGAGTAGCTATTCCTTTTATTCTACCATGTCTCCCACTTCCCCTAGTGTGCCTGCGTGCTGGTTAATAGTATATCCCTTGAATGCATTTGCCTATGTCCAAGTCTAGCATGTTACTTATTAAACCTTCTCTGCCTCAGTTTCCTTATCTGTGAAATGGGGATAATAATTGCACCTACCTCATAGAATTTGTGAAGGTAAAAGTTTATACACACACACATACACACACACGTATGCACACACATATGTACACAAACACACACACAATATTGATAAATGACTTAAAACAGTCCCTGATACCAAAGAGGGCTATATGAGAGTCACCTGTTATGGTTGTTAACTCACCTCATTTTTTTCTATAATCATGTTCTTAATCTATTTTACCAAAAGTATATACATTGACATATAAATGCCCATTATATTTTTAAATCAACCTAGTGGGTGTAGTTCATAATGTGGTTTTATAATATCCACTTAAATTAGTACAAATAAATTTCCCAGTATGACCAAATAATTCACTATCCTCTCCTGACATAAACGATGTAGAGAATCTTATTATTGTCAAAATGAGACAGGGGCTGTTGTGTGGCTAGGATAAAAACAGAAAAGATTTTACGGGGTCTTTAAAATGATTTAAAAGTATTTTTTTGATATAATTGACCATGATATTCCTTCACGCAATATCTTTGTGGGGATGGTGATAGCCTTTTCACACGGTCACCGAGAGGAAACCTGGGATCCACACTCTCTTCATTATAATTCAGGTCTTTGACCAGCCCTGGAGGCAAATACCCAGAATTGCCTGGCTGGCTGGGTTCATCTCCAAAGCCTCTCTCTCTTCCCTATCTGTCCTTCCTGTCCTTCCATTCTATTGCCACACTCTTCATATGGCACATGAAACCTTTCATGCATTACTGTGATATTTCTAATGATTCATATTTTGTTAGTGAGACTCATCATAGGAAATATAGTTCTGGTGTTGAGAACAAACTATTACATTAACAAATTTGCATCTCCTGATGCCCATAAATGGGCCAATCTTTTGCCTTCTGTAGGAAGGAGAAAGTACCTGATAATATTCATTTTGTTTTCAGGTGTTCTTCAACTTTCAAATGTGGAAATTCAGAACTTTGGGTCGCCATTGTATTCATCCATTGAACTTACTAATGCATCAGAAGGATCCTGGATAATTTCTTCTACTCTGCACCAAAGCTGTGGTGGGGGCATTCGTGCTGCAGCCAGCCATGGGATCGTTCTAAATGACAATATAGTGTTTGGCACAGTTGGCCATGGCATAGATTTGGAGGGTCAGAACTTCTCTCTCTCTAATAACCTATTGGTTCTGATGACACAGTCATCATGGTCCACTGTTTGGGTGGCAGGAATCAAAGTGAACCAGGCAAAGAACATCAACCTCTTTGGCAATGTCGTGGCAGGATCAGAAAGACTGGGCTTTCATATCCGAGGGTACAGGTGTTCCTCTCCTGAAGCTCATTGGTCTGACAATGTGGCCCACTCAAGCCTCCATGGCCTTCATCTCTATAAGGAAAATGGACTAGACAACTGTACCGGTATTTCTGGCTTCTTAGCTTTTAAGAACTTTGACTACGGTGCCATGCTACATGTGGAAAACAGTGTGGAGATAGAGAACATCACTCTGGTAGATAATGCTATTGGTCTTTTGGCAACAGTATACATGTCTTATGCTCCTCAGAGGCACATTGAAAATTTACAGATTGTACTTAGGAATTCAGTCATTGTGGCCACTAGCTCTTCTTTTGATTGCATTCAGGACAGAGTCAAACCTCGCGCTGCCAATGTGACTTCAACAGATCGAGCTCCTTCCAATCCAAGAGGAGGTCGAGTTGGGATTTTATGGCCTGTATTCACCTCAGAACCAAATCAGTGGCCTCAGGAGCCCTGGCACAGAGTCAGGAATGACCATTCAATTTCAGGAATTATGAAAATTCAAGGTATGATGGTTGGTTTATAAGCAATGTAGTTTCATATATCTGTGCATAGAATCTTTGATAGCATTCTGAAATTATATCAACAAGAGGGTAAGATGTAGCCTAGGGCTTCTTGTCCAATTGATAATCTGCTTGCTATTGATAACCACAGTGGTGATAATGACAGTGAGTGGCTCCTTAAATCATCTCTGCTTGGGGCGCCTGGGTGGCTCAGTCTCTTAAGCGCCCAACCCTTGATTTTAGCTCACATCATGATCTCATGGCCCTGAATCAAGCTCTTCACTGACAACACAGAGCCTGCTTGGGATTCTCTCTCCTCCTCTCTCTGCCCCTCCCCCTTTTTCTTTCTCTCAAATAAAAAAATTAAAAAGTCACTGCTTTATTCATGTTGAAGAACTTTATTTAATTTGATTATTTAATTTGATTATTTAATTTGATTATATGACAATTCTCTTAGGTAGGTATTGCTTTTTCTATTATACAAAGGATGAAACAGATACAGAAATTGTGCCTCACTGAGGTTTAGTAAAGTTGGTAGGCAGCCTGGATTAGAATCAGGCCACAACCCATGAAGTTACTCTTCCATCAGGTCTCTTTTGTACTCATTCCTCATTGGATATTGATCAAAAGTTTGATGAAAAGTATTGCTCTTGAGACTTTAATGTGTTGGAATATACTCTTATCTTTTGCATACAGTGTCTACATCTTGAAGGACTACAGATATTTTATATTATTTTATGTATTTATTTTAATGTTTATTTATATCTGAGAGAGAGAGAAAGAGAGAGAGAGAGAGAGAGAGAGAGAAGGATAGGGGAATGGAGAGAGGGAGACACAGAACCTGAAGCAGTCTCCAGGCTCTGAGCTGTCAGCACAGAGCCCAACACCAGGCTTGAACTCAATTCACAAACCATGAGATCATGACCTGAGCCAAAATCAGACACTTAACCAACTGAGCCACCCAGGTGCCCCAGAACTACAGATATTTTAAGTCAGGATTTATGTTAACTCCTGGAACTACCCTGGATAGCTTAAACTTACTCCTAGATCTGCATTGATATAAGAATATTTAGTTGTATAGTCCATATTGTGGTAGATAGTTTATATGATCCAATATTATGATACCTTAAAATTTTTTTTCAGATGTCACCTTTTCTAGTTTTGTGAAGAGTTGCTATAATGATGACCTAGATGTCTGCATCCTGCCCAATGTAGAGAACACTGGAATCGTGCATCCTATTACAGCAGAGAGGACCAGGATGCTAAATATCAAAGATAATAACAAGTTCTACTTTCCTCCTTTGCAGACCAGGTACCAGTTTTAGTATTTCCAATAAGCCATGTTTGTGAAATATTTGTCAATTCCTCAAATCCTTAACCATATTTAGAAAAAGAGAATAAAATCATCAATGTGAATAGAAATATGTTCCTCTGGAAAGATAAGGTGGATTGATTGAATGGCCCGAATTCTTTACCCCACCTACAGTCATGCCTTTTGTTAGATTTTTCAGTCTCTCTCACAACAGAGATAGAGGCTATTTCTGTCTTCAATTTGGGTTGAGCCTTGTGACAGTTTTTAGCTAAAAGAGGGAACAAAAGTGATAGAATGCAAAGTTTAACTGATATTGTTTCATTGTTTATCCTTATTAGAAATACGTCTTTGGGATGTTTTCAAAATCACTTGAAAAAAATTTACCCCAATTCTTGACTCTTCCATGGAGTGTGGTGTCACTAGTTTTCTGAAGGAGGCTTGGAAACCCTTGAGCAGGGACTAGGAGGTAGAAGGAGACTGTGTCTGTTGCCAGGAATCCCTGAACTGTACAAAGTGGCTTAGATTTTGGCATGTAGACCTTCTGTAACTACTGTTCTTGAACATATGTTCTCTGAAAACTAGATGAGGAATTCTTTTTCTCATAAAAGAGAGTGGGAAAGTTAGGAGCAGGGAGAATGGGTTACTTTCTTTCCTCCACAATATTGGGCAAACTCCTTTAGCTGGAAGAAAAGAATCAAGAAAAATTGTCCTGATTAGAAAGTTAATGTGTTTGGCCCAACAGTAATCTCATTTTAATGCCAATCCCTGACCCATTTTTATGGTACCAAAACATTATGAGATTTTCAATTTGTGTTATTCTATCATTTTTTCTTTGCCCAATTTTCTTTATGTTCATTCATGCCTTACTTATGGGATGAAATAGTTATAAAGCTAAATGATATTAGCATCTGATTCTTTATATTATTAATACCTGACACATGGTTGGCATACAATAAATATTTAATGTTATTACCAATGGTACCTAAAATTATTAGACCAGGGGGAATCAAATAAATTCTCTATAATTCAATGCTATAATTGCCTATAACTTGTTTATATACCCTGCCTGACTCTAAATTCTGAAAGTATAGGAATATGTCTATCTTTATCACCACTGTATTCTCCAACACGTAAGTAGTAGGTATTCAATAGATACATGTTGAATGAGAATATCTATTTTTACCTTGTTTGTATATAGCACAAATAGAATTGAAATTTATAGTAATAATCTTAAAATACTGCAAGTCCCCAAAGTTTCATAAAGAAATTATTATTTTATATTTAGTAGATATTAGAATTAAGAACACTTCATTATATCTTGCTTCTTACAAAATTAGCAATTGAAGCAAAATTATATATTCAGATATGTGGAATATTTGGTTACAAGAATGTCTTTCTTTTTGCCCATATAACGGGGAAATAAAATTCTCTATAGAGCTTTACTTTTTATCTATGTATAACACATTATTAATAATAAAATCCTCATTTATTTTTCATGGCGGCACTACAAATATGTTTTCTTTGTGTTGCTCATGGAATGAGAGAGTTGCTTTCTGTCTATCTTCACAGGAAAAGTTTAGGAATACTGGTCTGCCCTGAATCAGATTGTGAAGATCCAAGAAAATATCTCTTTAAGGATCTGGATGGGAGAGCCCTAGGTCTGCCACCACCAGTTTCTGTATTCCCTAAAACGGAGGCAGAATGGACTGGATCCTTCTTCAACACAGGTTGGTTATATCTGAACTTATGCCTCCAGTACAGGGAGCATGCATGTGGTTTGGCTGGCTTGTCTATCAGGAACAAAATATCCAGGAGAGGAACTGATTTTGAGTTGGAGTCTGCTATCACAAGAATGTTGAGTGGTTAAGCAATGTCATTACAGCATTGTTATTCCCTCCATGAGATCGCTTGTGTCTTTGTGTAAGGTACAGATTTCTAACATGCAGCTCTGTGCACAAGTGAGAACATCTCAGTAGTGAGTTCACCGGGACCTGAAGCAGCACTCTTGCTGCTCAGTGTTTCACAGTCTGCCAGGGAACCAGCTCCTCTGCCATCTGAGTCAATAATTCTCTTCCATCCAGACTTGAAGGCGCTCATTCAGGGTGGTGGCGTAGATGGTGTGCAGTTGTCCTTCCTTTTTTCCATCTGTTGGTTGTCCCCGGGGGGCCTGTAATCAAAATTCCTTCTGCTCTCTTATACAACCAGAGCCCATTTAGTGATCAGTTTTAATAGCTGGACCCCCCGGAGAGATCATTGTCCTACTTCCACAAACAATTGGACTCTGAGTTTCCATTTGAGTTCAGGTGGAATCTGTTGCACATAAATCGAAAGAATTATCCTGGCTTTCTTTCTGTTTCAGTGGTTGATTCTTTCCATACTTCTCCTCTAGTCTCCTTTCCCCTTTTAAAGTTCTAAATGAAGGAATGTTCCAGGATTATGTTCTCAGATCTGTTTTATTCTCTCCCTAATCTTGCTAAATCCAAGGTTGACATGCCATTCACTGCTGATGACTTCCAATTTATATCTCCAGCCCTGAACTTTGGTCTGGTATATCCAACTGACTCCATTGGGATGTACAATCAGCATTTCAGACTCAACATGCCCCAAGTGGGTTCTTGATTTCTGTCCGCATCCATAATCTGCTCCTTCCCTAGATGACCCTACCTTAGTGCTCAGTACCATCGTTCATGAGATTATTTAAGTAAAAAATCTAGGAGCATTTATTCTTTTTTTTTTTTTTTTTTTTTTTTTTTTTTTTTTTTTTGATATAAACCCTCTCACTTCTAAACCATCATCCAACAAGGGAATAGAATAGCTTCCTAACAGTCTTTTTTCTTCTTTTAGCCCATAAACTATTTTTCACAAGGTAGCAAGAGTGATATTTTCAACTTTCCAATTGCTTTCCATTCCCCTAAAATAAAATGCAAACTTCAAGCCTATAAGTCTTGTAGTATCTGGTCCCTGTGACACTCTTCTTTATTTATCGTGGTCTTATGCTTTCTTTACCATGCTAAGCTTATTCTTACCCCGGGGGTTGCCTTTGCATTGGCTGTTTCCTCTGCCTGAAATATCCTGTTCTCATTTCTTTGCAAAGCTGGCTCCTTTTGTTCAAATGATAGCTCCTCAGAGAAGCCACCCCTGACCACCCTAAAATAATTATTCTTCCATTACTCTAGCCCTACTGTGCCTGCTTCATTATTTTTTGTGAGAGTTACATTAGTTGAAATAATAATATTTTTTATGTAAGTATGTATGTATTTATTTATCTATCTAGAGACATAGACAGCATGAATGGGGGAGGGGGAGAGAGAAAATCCCAAGCAGGCTCCACACTGTTATTATGGAAACCGATGTGGGGCTTGAACCCACCAAACTGTGATATCATGACCTGAGCTGAAACCAAGAGTTAGATGACTGAGTCACTCAGGCACCCCTACTTGAAATTATAAGTACACTTATTTACTGGCTGATTTACTGCTTGTCTTTTATTTTTATTTTATTTTATTTTTTAAAACTGCAGTTTTATCTTACATTTATTTTTGAGAGAGAGAGCAAGTGCAAGAGGGTGCACAAGTGAGGGATAGGCAGAGAGAGGGGGAGACACAGAATCTGAAGCAGGCTCTGAGCTGTCATCCCAGAGCCCAACACAGAGCTTGAACTCATGAACCATGAGATCATGACCTAAGCTGAAGTTGACACTTAACCAACTGAGCCACCCAGGTGCCCCTGTTTGCCTGTTGAAATGCAATCTTAATGATGGCAAGAAGTTTGTCCTGTTTGTTGTATATTTGGGGAATGCTCAACAAATATTAATTGATGGGTTGATCAAGTAAATTAATTATTGATAACCAAGGAGAATATTAATGCTGTTTGTCCCAAACCATTCAAGAGCAGACAGAAGAAACTGAGGCTTAAATGTAGGTCAGTGTCTTAAGGATTTATACATAACATGAAATCTGGAACCAAGACTTTCCTAGACCTCTTTTTTACCTGTTTCCTCCTTTCTTCTTTGAACTCCTGCTACTTTTAGCATTTGACATTTAGAGAAGTTTCTACATAAGTCTTTTAATTACCATACTATTTCATGCTTCAATACTTTTTCTAATTTCTCTTAAATATTTTCATAGGTTGAAGGCTTGCACAGAATGACAAAGTGTGGGGACTACAGTATAGGTTTTTAAAAAGTCAATGCTGAGTGCATGGAACACACTAAGTAAATATTCATTTCGATATGTTAGTTATACCTGTTGGATATAACCAGCAAGCACATTTTTTCACAAAAGAATAAAATTCAGGGAAAGTATATATTGAGAAAATATGTGCAGAGTAGGAAAAGAAAAAAAAAAGATAGGCAGTTACTGTCCCATTTACCACTATAACTATTCAAATAGCTTTTCATAAAAGTTATTCTATTGGTTTTAAGAATCATCCCTCTGGGGGCGCCTGGGTGTCTCAGTCTGTTAGGCTTCCGACTTCGGCTCAGGTCATGATCTCGCGGTCCGTGAGTTCAAGCCCCGCATCAGGCTCTGGGCTGACAGCTCAGAGCCTGGAGCCTGTTTTGGATTCTGTGTCTCCCTCTCTCTCTGACCCTCCCCTGCTCATGCTCTGTCTCTCTCTGTCTCAAAAATAAATAAATGTTAAAAAAATTAAAAAAAAAGAATCATCCCTCTGTTATAGGTGTTTATACCATTGAGGAAACATCTTTATGCTTTAAAAAGAAATACAGACATAATTGTGAGGTTTTTCTATGCTTGTGGTTTTTGGTGAGGATCACATTTCTGTGGAATCCGTAACAAGGGACAGGTGTCCCAGAGTATTTAATGAAAATTACATTTCAGAAATGAATGAGGACTGAAGAGTGTCTTAGTTTGTGCTGCTCCAAAGGCAGGCCTTGATACAAGGCTTAGAATCTAGTAGTTTGTGTGGGGGGTGAGGTCAGGAAAGCAGAGAAGTGGGAAAGTGAGACAGGGAAAAATGTGAAGCCAGGAAGGGTATAATCAAACTGGTGACCACTGTGGATAGCTGGAGCTCGTCTGGGTGGGGGAGAACTCCTGCAGACTCTGGGCACATAATTGAAACGTATCCCTGCTAAGCTATGAAGAAGCTAAGGTATTTATAATTCAAATCCCTGCTTGTCATTGGCTAAAGGATGCTTCTGGACATCAACTCACCAGCCTCTTGGCTTTCTCTGAACACAGGCCAGTTGTGCTCTTTCCTGTGGCTAGGAAAAAACCTTTCTCAGCATGAAGTGGTAGGTTTTTGTACTAACAGTCTTTGGTGTGTGAAGGCGAGTGCTAAAAACATGGGGGTTGACTTTGGAAATGTCTGGTGCAAACAGATCTCTAAAGTGTTGATCAAATACTCCATGTGGAAGTAATATGGTGGTTTGATGAACTCAGATGGTTGCTTACCATGTGGTATACATGTACTTTTTAGGCAACAAACATGCTCTTGTGGCTGATTGTATATTTCATTTTTCTTCACTCTCTGACCTGGTTGTGAAATATGATTCAATGGTAAAACTCCAGAAGGTATCACAGTATAACGTATTAGTTACTATTAGCATGTGGACAAGCATGAGTGTGTGTGTGTGTGTGTGTGTGGTTGAATTTATATAGAAAGGTACATATGACTGACTGCTTTAAACTCCTGATGTTTTAAAACTTTATAACATTTTAAATGAGGTTGCTGTAGGTACCAACCTCAAGGATTCTGCAGTAGAACCTGCTGTTTACTGCTCTAGAAATACAAAGTGTGTCTTTTTGCAATGAAGGAGATAGTGCATTGTAAATGGTGCCTTCTGGGTGCTAACAGGATTGTAGTGTTTTCCTTTGGCTTCCAAAATATGAATATATCCTCCTTCCCTAATCCAAGTCCCTTTTTATTTTTTGAACCATTCCCTTCTGTGCTGCTTTCCAATTCCTGTACACAATCTGATAGATGAGAAAGGCACAAATTCAATCTTAAAAGAAGGAATGTCTATTTTGTATTTTTCCTCTCCAAGACAAGAATCTATAATCTTCTGTAGAACAGGGAGAGGCGTGCAGCAGAGACAAAAATGGAGGCCACTACAAACCAAGTCTCATATTTATTCCAAATGGTATTGTGATACACCCTTATGTTCTTTCTCAACTTTATTAATAAATAATTTGGAGTCCATTGCCTTAGAGGTTTATTTTTAATTTGAAAAATACAGATTTTATTTGCACATATAAGTTCACAGCAAAACTACCAAGCCAGACAGATATCCACAGGTCCCGGAATATTGTCATATAGTCTGGCATTAGAAGCAAAAATTATCCATGTGGATCAGCTATAAGGAATACTGTGCCAGTGGGTTTTGCTATCTGTGTAATGCAGGGTGTGTAGCCAGGGGAAAAGTGAGCTGTTAATTTTGGTTTGTACTTATCTGTAAGTTTGCATTTGCAGCCAACTTTGAAGCATGCATGGCAGTAGAGAGCAAGGCAGCTAATCCCAAGCAGGAGATCCTCTGAGAACCATTTGCATTTTATTGTGGAAAGGATTACTTTTGGTTATGGAGGCAGCTGATGATCTGACAATTCAGAATCACTGACAAAAACAAAGTCTTGAAATTGATATCCCATTTAGGTGGGACTAGACAGGTGCCAGAGCTTTCCACTCTGGCTTCTTAATCATTTCCAGTATGTCCCAGACTCCAAATGGATGGCTTTACCTCCCAGGCCAGTTTGTACGTGTGGAGTACCCG